AAAAAAAAAAAAAAAAAAAAAAAGATGTGAGAGTTAGCCCGTAAGAGGCTAGAGCTAATGGGCCAAGCAGTGTTTAAAAGAATACAGTTTCCATGTAATTATTTTGAGTAAAGCTAGCCGGTGGCCGGGAGCTGAGCGGTGGGAAGCGGCCACAGCTCCTTCTACAGAAGCAGCCCACCGCTCCTTCTACATCTGTAGGTTTTGGAGTCTGGGTAGCTTTTGTATACCAGGCTGGCCTTGAACTCACACAGATCCACCTACCTCTGCATTCCTAGAGCTGGGATTAAAGGCCTGTGCCACCACCACCCAGCTAAACTCACAGATTCACCTGCCTCTGCCTCCTGAGTGCTGGGATTAAAGGCATGCGCCACCACCTAAACCCATATTTTTAAATCTGCATTTTGGCTTATAGTTTGTTACCTCATCTCCCTGCAGCTTCCTCCGAGTCTGGCTGTTGACTCAGCTTTTCTTCTTCCCAGAGTTCTCTCTCTTCCCAGAAGTCGCTCCTATACTTCCTGCCTAGCTATTGGTCATTCAGTATTCTATTACACCAATCACAGCCATGCATCTTCACACAGTGTACAAATAGCCTCCGCACTCCTTCCTCCCCTTCCCACGTGGGGCTTTCCAGATGTTTACCAACTACCACCATGTCCAGCTCTCAAACATGACCTTGAATCTGCTTAGAATATAAGCAGTGGTGTAGGAAAGCCAGAGACTTGCCCTTGTCTTCTTACCCTCAGCTGTACAGAACACTGGGTAGAGGTTTAGCTAAGGATACAAGGGAGTTTGTTAGGGAAGCAGTAGCAGAGGAAGACAGGGATGGGGGCTCCCGAGGATCTTCGGTAACATAAGATAGCCATGCAAGCAGGAAAAGGATGAAGTTGCAGGACTTGACTGCCAGGGCTTCTTTTCTCCAGTGGTGGTTTCTGGAGGTGGCTTTCCCAGCCTCCTGTGGCAGTTCCGGTCACTCCTCCTCTTTCCCTAAGTCATCTGCTGCCTGTCACATCTTCCTACACGTATGCTTTAAACCCCAGTGATTTTTTTTTAATTCCCAGAAACTCTGGGCTGCCAGAGTTCTGCAGCTGGGGAGCAGACCAGACTGGAAGAGTCAGTGGAGTCATCAGGGTCAGCACCACCTTGTTGGGATGACTCACACATGCCAGTAACTAATGAAGGAATCAGTCAGTAACTGAACTGTGTGACCTTGGTGTGCTATCACCTCCCCAACTACAACGCTCTGAGACTCCAACATCTTACATTGATACAAATGAAATATACACACAGTAGGAGAAGTCAGCCTTTTAAACAATCCATGAACGAATCCTTACTAAAGCTGCTAGCCCCTGTAGAAGCAAGCCCGTGGCCTCACGGAGCTCTGAGGGAAACGAGGTCATATGGAAGTGGAGAAGTAGCAGATGTGGTTTGGATCTAGGTGGTGATCTGGATGATGTGGGGGAGACTCCGGCACTGTGATGGTAAGAGCTCTGGTGTCGCAGCACTGACTGTAGCCCCAGAAGTCTTGGCAAAGATCCTAAGGATCCAGTTCTGAGCTCTACCCCCCAGAGGAGGGCTGACAAGGGACAGTAAGGGAAGATTTTGTTACTGATGTAAACTTTGGGAGGAATCATGTTTCAGTTGAAAAAACTATGGTTCTTCCTGGAAGGAGATTTTGCCATTTTAAATTTGGTAAATGTTGTGTAGAGACTATAGCCTCATCTCTGTATTTGCATGTCCTGAGTCACAGCAGAAGACATCATAGATAGACAGACGATCGTGTTCAGGGGACAGTTAGTGTGGGAGTCCTCCTTATAGCGTGAGTGCTGCTTAGGAGTAATAGGAGTTACTGCTAAAGGTGACATTCATTCACAGCGCTTAGTTTTCAATTTTTAAACTTTTGGCTGGTCATGTGGTACTTGCCTTTAATTCCAGCACTGGAATTGGATTGGAACTTCAATCCTCCTGCTTTGGCCTCCCAAGTGTTGAGATTGGAGGCATCAGCCATCCCCACACTGTTGAGGTCTCTCTTTTCTTTTTCATCCTTTTTTTCTATGAGAAAAGTCCAAGAGGCTTAGTCCCATTTGGTGTGCTGCCCCTCTAGGGCATTACCCTTTGTGGTTCACACTTGGCTCGCCCTGACCTTGACTGTGTTAGTGTCTGTGTCATCTGTACTTCCTTCACTGTGGCCTGTAGTTGATTGTTTTTACCCTGACTCTTTGGGGGCCTGTCACCCAGCTCCCAAATAATCACACGGAGATTTATTCTTATGTATGAATACCTGACCTTAGCTTGGCTTGTTTCTAGCCAGCTTTTCTTAACTTAAATTGTACTATTTACCTTTTGCCTCTGGGCTTGTCCCTTCCTCTATTCTATATACGTTTCTTCACTTCTGACTTTGTGGCTGCTTTGTAGCTGGTTGGCTGGCTTCCAAAGAGTTAGAGGTGAGTTCTCTCTCCTTCTCCTGTTCTTGCTCCTCCTTCTTCTCTTTTCTCCTATTTATTCTCTCTGCCTGGCAGCCCTGCCTGTCCCTCTCCTGGCTTGCTATTGGCCATTCAGCTCTTTATTAGACCAATCTGCTGTTTTAGACAGGCAAAATAACACAGCTTCACCAAGTTAAATAAATGCAACATAAAAGAATGCAACACATCTTTTCATTATTAAACAAATGTGCTACAGAATAAACAAATGGAACACATCTTCAACTAATATTTCACAACAGTAGGCTAGCTGCCCCATCTCCTTGTGCCAATCAGGAAAAGCAGCCTGCACGAGAACCCAAATGAAGGCATCAAGACTGTAGAAGGTAGATTTGTCTACACTGAGTCTCTACTCGTAAAGCCCGTTGATACACCATGACTCGTAGTTTCAGCTGAATTGTTCTAGATTTATCTTACATTTATCTACTTATTTGGGGTGGGGCCTGTGGTCTTTAGCTTGCAGCCCACCGCTGTGGTCTTAGCTCATGCTCTCTTGTCATTGCACACACACTTGTACCCAAACTCAATGTTCCTTCTCTCAGTACCTTTGCTGCCTCTCTATTCAGCAGGATGACTTTGACCCTGCTTCCCTGGTTGGGTCCCTTCCTACCCTTGACCAGACACCAGCTCTTTACAGCCAGGACCAAGGTGCCGCTTTTGCACACATCACCCCCTTCCCTCTAGCACCTACCGGTTTATCCGCCGCCTTCACGAGGCTCACCGGCACTCTGCGAACAAATATTTGAATGTTTTCTGTTTGGACTACCTTTATGTTGACATCCACTTTACCACTCTCCTCCATTATGAAGCTCTGACTGTAGCATTGAATGGAGCAGCTTTGAGAGCTACTTCTATACTGTTGAAAATTATTCATTAATGATCCTTAAACCAGAACTATTTTGAAGTGAACAACAGAATATGTGAAGTGTTGGATGTAGTTATTAAATCTTCTAGATTCAGTTGCCTTTATGATAGTTTATGTGAGCAAACACCACCGCGTTCCATTCCTCAACAAGGGGCTATTCAGTTCTTCCTGTTGACATTAGGGAGGGGACGTTCTTCCAGGAATGAATGAATTCTTTTTGATTGCTTGGTGTCCACACACAGACAAGGACGACCGGAAGGCTTGTTTTTGTAGAATTTCTCTCCCTCCTGGGAATTAAAACCAGGACCCTGTGCGTGCTAGGCTAGCATTATGCCACTGAGCCATGTCCCTAGCTCCTGTTTCATGGCGATCTTTAAAAGACACAAATCCATCAGGTGAGACATGACATTATATCCGTGATATTCCAGAGTGTTTTCTCATGACTTGAGTAGTAACTGGCTTCAGGTACTCGGCTTTGAAAGCTCCTTCCGTCTTCTTCCAGGTGGTTAATAGTGAAGGATTCTTTTCTGCTGTACATGAAGCCAGACAGTGGGGCCATCGCCTTTGTCCTCCTTGTAGACAAAGAATTCAGAATAAAAGTGGGAAGAAAAGAAACAGAGACGAAATACGGACTCCGAATTGATAATCTTTCAAGGTAGAAATTGTTTAAAATGTATTTTTCCCTTCTTCAAGGCCAAAATTTTTCCTCACCTACTGAGGAGTAAATTAGATTTAAATGTTCATAATTGTTACTTGGAGCTCATCCTCAAGCAGAAATAATGGAACTCTTCCATTGTGTGTGTGTGTTTGTATGTGTGTGTGTGTGTGTGTGTGTGTGTGTGTGTGTGCGTGTGTGCGTGTGTGATGAGCATGTGAATTACTACGGTACCTGCAGAGGTTAGAAGAGGATATTGGATCCCCTGGAGCTGGAGAGCAAAGTTTGTCAACTCAGCTACCAGTTTGTTGAATGAATCAATTGGTAGTTTGCATTTTAAAGTAATACAGTTTTATATAGTTTATAAATGAATATATTTTGTTATGAACATCTTTGGAGTGATTTGATCTATAAAATTTTGTCTACATAGAGCTTTTGAGAAAGATGTCTGGAAGAGATGATGAAATGTACATGTATTATATATTTTACTTACAAGTACATTATGTGTTAATGTGTCGGTTTCTTTCTGGCAGACTGTAATCATACCTTGAAAAAGTGTGTGTGTGTGCGCATGTGTGTGTAATCACTCTCATCCATATGAATATTTATAATTTCTCTTTACACGGTTACAACAGGAATGTATATCTCCAATTACATGTTTGTATAGTATTACATGTATGCTTGTACAATACATACATGCATGCTTATGTATGTGCACGCATGTAGGGTGATATGGGGTGAAACAATATTGGGCTTCCTACTTTCCTTTCAGAAGGTAACTTTCAGGCTGTTACTGAAATGCCTTTGTTCTTAGCCTCCTTATCTCCACTCCCCACACCAAGTGGATCTGTTTAACTCCAGGGTTCTCTAGGCTCCTTCCAGGCAGAAGTGTTCCTTGTCATCTTAGCCAACAAGACCAGCTTCTCCATTGTCTCGGGGTTGTTTATCTCTGTTTGTTTGTAGACACCCCTGCTACAGCCTTTTGGTTCTGTGTTGGCAGTTCTCTTTGCAATCCCTTCGCACACATTTATTTATTTTTGCCTCCTCCCTCTTGCTTCTTCTATTACTTATTCACCCATTTATTTGTGTGTATGTTTTGAGTCATTCCTTTCCTTCCACTGCCTGGCTCTGGAGAATCAAACTCCCTTCATCAGACTTGGTGGCAGGTATGTCTACCCATGGAACCACCTCACTAGTATTTATTATTATTATTATTATTTATATACATGTGTGAATGAGGGTACATGAGCGCCACTTCATACATGTGGAAGTTACAGGGAAACTTTGTGAAGCTGGTTCTCTCTTCACATGGGTCCCAGTGGTGGGATTAAGGTCATCAGGCTGGCCCTGCCCTGCTCTTGTCTGCTGAGCTATCTAGTCAGCCCTCATTCCATTTCTCTGCTTGGAATAGTTTCCCTCCCCCGCCACTAGGCCTCTAATGATACCCATCTCTTCCACACAGCCATCTTCTCAGGACATCTTGTCCCAAGGGTAGGCTGACCCAAGGCAACTTCTGAGCCCTCTTGCTCCTCATGACTCCATTGCTATGGAGTTCCCACCCCAGCCCCTCTCACCTCCCTATCCCCACACCCGCCAGCCTTCTGCTGGACAGAAGCTTTCAAAGGCCAACATCCATCTGTGCTATATCGAGAGGAATGGTTTGGGTGCCCTCGATCCTTATAAATAATTATAGAATCTGTGCATATGGCCCCTCCCTTGCTCTCCTTGAGAACTGCCGCATACCCTGTCCGCCATGCATTCAAACAGAAACGAAGCTCTGCTTCCCACTCAGTCCCATTTTTATCGGCACGGGGCACAGGACAGCTAGTGCCAGCTCCTTGTCCTTTGAACTTCAGTTCCAGTAACTGTTTTCACTCTTGGTAACAGCCATTTGTTCTGACACTTGGCTTAAAGATTTTTTTTTTTGTAATCCCCCAGAATTTATCCCAATATTTTTAATTCTGTAACAGGTTAAAGTAGCTTGCTCAAGTGATAGATGCAAACGAACTTATTCCAGAGCAAATTAATTAGCCACGTGGAGTGATTAATTTTCAAGCTAACCTACATCATTAAGACACATTTTCTACATTTCCTTAGCTTTGGAACCTGCCTTGTCCTCAGAGGGGTCCCCTTCTACCACAAGATGACTGCTCAGCACCCTTATAGCATACTCAGCAGGAGGGAGGGAGTCTTTTCCCACACTGCTGGGTTCTCAGATCTACTCTCATGGGGTGGGGCTGACTTCTGTGCCCTTGCCCCAGCCCACTAGGACTAGGGGAGTGGGGGACACTACTTTGCATAGCTTTGCTGGCTTCCAAGAAGGAAAGGAGATCTCTCCTAAGGACAGCAGAAGTTCGGGGGGGGGGGGTCAGTGCAAAGGGTCCAGCAGCTCTGACAGAAAAGTTACCTCACTGTACCTGCTCCACAACTCTCCTCATCTCCCAGCACGGTTCAGTGTCTACATCAAACCCCTTCCCCTGTGTCTGCGCACTTGAGTGAGCAGGGAGCCTGACCAGGAAGTTCTGACCCAGTGAGCACTGTGAGGAACTCTACCGAGGTGTTTTAGATGCGCTTGCTTTTCCAAACATTCATTACCTAGAAGTGTCGATTCCTGTTTGCTGCGGCGTGCTTCATCTTTAAATTTGTTTTAAGAGCTACAACTTAGAGCAAACCCCCAACGCCCACGTTTGCTTTTCTTTAAAGGACACTGATTTTGAAGTGTAACAGCTACCGGCACGCTCGGTGGTGGGGAGGAGCCATAGAAGAGTTCATTCAGAAGCATGGCACGGACTTCCTCAAAGACCACCGCTTTGGTTCCTATGCCGCTGTCCACGATAACACTTTAGCCAAATGGTGAGGTGTTTTGCTCACAGGTGTTCGTCTAGTGTTATAATGGTTTAAATTTACCTGGAATCAGCTTCGAAACTAAACCAGTGGTTTGCTCAACTAATGGATCATATTTAAAGATATGATCGCAGCTTCAATTTTGGTTTTTGGCCATCTTTAATGGTGAGCTTACAGGCCTTTAGATTTTGATGTTTGATTTGTTTTGTGAGAGAGGGTCTTGTGAAGCCCAGATGGACCTGGAACTCCTGATCCACCTGCCTCATCTCCCACAGGCTGTAACTGCAAGCCTGCATCATTGCGCCTAGGTAGAACTCTGGTTTTTAAGATCAGCTTCAGGACCGGGTACATAGCACAGTTACTGTGTTTACTTAGCATGCATGAATTCCTGCTACTCCATAAAACCAGGCATGATGGCACAGTTTATAATCCCAAAAACTGGGAAGGGGAAGCAAGTGGATCATTAGCTTAAGGTCATGTTTAACTTCATAATGAACAAGAGGCCAGACTAAGATACCCAAGACCCAGTCCTAAAAAGAAAAGCAAAGTGTTACTTCATATATCTCTTAAAGGTAAAATGAGGCTTTATTTAAATCATTTATTGTTTTCCCCCATGGATATGCGCTGGTCTGTTTGTAGGCTCAGATGAAAAACTTGTGTAATAAGGAAACTCTATGAGAGTGATTGACAGGCTACTGTCTAAATAAAGATTGCTTAGGTCTGTCTTCTGCCTGCTTTTCCTGTGTAATATATGGAGACACGATCATGTTTTCAATCTTGTTTCCAGTTACTCAAGGGAAAACAGTGGTGATGTAGACCAGGCAGAGCCCTCTGTACTTTGCCTTGGCCTAGGGTGTGTTTTTCTTTTTTGTCCTGTTTTATAAAATCAAAAAAAAAAAAATCAAAAGAAACCAATGAACAAATCCTTTTTCTTCCAGGTATGTGAACGCCAAAGGTTACTTTGAAGATATTGCAAATGCAATGGAAGAGGCAACGGAGGAGATTTTCATCACGGATTGGTGGTTAGTATTTGTCCAGGAGAGTGCTGTCTAGAGGCATCTCTGTTTAGAAATGAGCTATTGGAGGATCCCACACTATGGAAGTCAACAGTAGTCATGATGGCTTGGCCAAGTCTCAGTCAACTAAATAGTAGACTCCAGAGAAAGACTTCAAATGCTCTATTGGCTCTTGTCTAAATGCCATGACGGAGACAGCACAGAGGAGGAAAGGTTTGTCTGGCTCACAGTTTGAGGGTCCGTCCATCATGCTGTGTTGGGTGGGCCTGGTGGCCGCCCATGAGGGCTGTCACCTGGTATGCATGGTCATGAGGCAGAAGAGGTGAAGGCCTGTGTTCTACTCACATTCTCCTTTTTATCCACTCTGGAATGCCAGCCCATAGATGATGCGCTCCTGTATTTAGGGCTAGTCTTCCCACTTCGGTTAACCCAGTGTCAAAACTCTCATGGCCCTGCCCAAAGCTGTGTTTCCAAGGTGATTCCAGACTCTTAAGTGGACAACCAATGTTAACTATCGCAAATATCTTCTTAAAGTATTTATCGTGAATAGTCTTGGAAGCAGCCATGCCAATATTTGTGTTGGTATGCTACTGCGGAAAAGAGTGGCTGTGGAGACAGGGAAGCCCATCCTCTCTGGCCATCGGTCTCTTACCATGTCCTCCACGCGGTCCAGGAAGCAACTCCTGAACTTTTGCTTTGACACTGAAATAGTTGCTCTTGCTGTTACTGTTGGAAGGACTGGGTCTGGGCAGCTCTTCTGCCTTCCATCAGATTTCAACTGTCTCACCTGTTGTGAAGACCCCCCCACAGGCGTCACGGTGCTCACTTTACCGAAGTCACTGGAAATCTCCTATCTAAAGTTCACGAGTTCTCAGGAAATGCCACCTGTGGAGTTGGTGTTAGTTTGGTATTTGTAGTCTAACTTCAGTTCCAGCTACCATCATCTTAGAATGTTGAAGCCCATCACAGATTCCAACATTGGCTGATTTGGAGATGAAATGGCCAGGGATATGCTGTCCTTGTAGAAATGGAAGTGACTTTCTAAATGCACTCTACCCTTTGAGAGATACGGTCTTGCTTTGTAACCTGGGTAGACTGGATTCACTGTATGGCCCAGGCTGGCCTTTAATTCCCAGCAGTCCTCCTGTCTCAGCATCCCACGTGCTGGGGATTTCTGACTTGAACCATGCCTGGCTCTGAAATTTTGCTTTCAGCTTTTTCTTACTTCTTTCAGATATTACTCATAGATGAAGCTTAAAAATCCTTTCCTGGTGTGTTTCCTTCTAATGCTAGACTAGGAGACAGGGAGAGAAATAGATGTGGGTGTCAGGTCCACAAGGGTGGCGCAAAGATGGGGACAGACCACCGAAGTCTAGTAAACTTTATTCCAGAAAAAAGAAAAATATAAAACACCACAGGGCACAAAAGCTTGTCAGCTAGCTGAGACCACAGCTGGAGTTTGGGCTGAAACTGTGGTAAAAGTCGGTTTCTGAACTCCCCCTTTTTATAGCAAGAAATAAGACACCTTAAACATGAACAAAGGAATTTTTACAATCTTGACATAAAACTCAGATACGTATTGCCTTTCTTTACAATTTTCATTAACAGAGTTTCTCAGTTAAACTAGGTTTGTATTTAATCCATTGTTTTTCCTGGCTCTCCCTAATTGTGTTTACCCAAGCTCCACACCTCCTTAAGGCCGCCAGTTTGTCACCCTATCCTCTGAAGGTTAACTCAGCTATCTCCATTGTTAATCAGGATGGCCTGCTGTTATCTCAGGGCTGACTCTCTGTTTGCAGAGGGATGCTTTGGTCTCATAAACAGAGCAGCCAGCTGTAAGATGAACTAACCCACTACTGGTAACAGCTCCTTAAGCAGCCGAGAAATAACTTACTGCGGATGATTGGTCCTTTAACTGCTGAGGAAGCTGCTAGTAATTCGTTTAGGTTTACAACTGTGTGCCTTTCTTTCTGCATTCTAACTTCTACATCCTAATTTCTGGTACCTACAGTTCTATATTCCCATTTTTATTTCTAGACACTTCCATGGGGATTCTTCTAATCCTAGGCTAGGAGACGGGGCAAAGCGATGGACGTGGGAAGCCGTTTTCTGGTTCCCTTCAGTTCTATAGACATCTGTAGCTCTGGGTCCTCTTTCCAGTTTGCTGCTAGTGACGTTCTGAGAGAGATGATTCTTTGTCATAGATGGCCGTCTGCAGTACCTGTGGCTTTTACCAGTTAGCTGTCAACAGCAGATCCCCTTCATGACAACCAGGTAGTCTTTAGTCATTGCCAAATACTGAATACGTTCTCAGAACTCAGGAAAGTACGTCCAAAGCTCAGTGTCGCACTATAGCCATCAAAATACCCCTAAAACATCAGCCAGGGCATGAGCGAGAGAAAGGAGCTTTTCCGATGATGCCATATTTTCCTGCAAGAAAGAAGCCTCTCTTTTGGAGGTTCCGGATGGTAAAATTCAGACTTCCATTTAAACTAGGAGATGGGGAGAGAAATAGACGTGGGTATTGGTCCATGAGGGTGGCGCAAAGATGGGGACAGACCACCGAAGTCAAACCTAGAAGCTGGAGCTGGAACCTATGTGATTTCTGCTCTACTTTCCAAAGGACGGGGAATTAGGTGTTGTTTGTTCCGGCTACAGCCCTGGCATGCATCTTACTACAGCAGGCATTTTGAAGTGAAGCCCTACAGTAACTTCCTCTGGGGTGAAGAGACTCCTCAGGGGCCATTATCCCAGAGTGCATGCAAAGTGTCTTGTGGTTTTACTGATTTGTTTGTTTATTTATTATCAGTGATTCCTTTAAACAATGAGCATATTCTCTTGTACTTTTTGAGTTCTTGTTTACTATTTTAGGGCCACCCCATCCCTCTCCTTTCCCATTGGCTCTGGAGAATTCCTTCTGGATTCCACTGTCTTAATTATCCAGGATTTCTTTTCTTTTCTTTTTAAATTGTTTTTGCTTTTTGTTTTTTAATTTTTTTTTATTTTTTATTTTATTTTATTTTATTTTTTTTTTTTTGAGACAGGGTTTCTCTGTAGCTTTGGAGCCTGTCCTGGAACTAACTCTTATAGACCAGCCTGGCCTTGAACTCATAGAGAGTTGGGATTAAAGGCGCGCACCACCACCATCTGATTATCCAGAATCTTGTGTGTTCTAATTAAATAGCATGTTTCATTCTGGCCTCCAGCATTCTAGAGAGGAAATTTCAGCAATAAAATATTTTTCTCTTTAGTGCTTTCAAACTTTTCCAACTGTTTGGTTTTCAGCAGTTGGGTTATGATTTGGGAGTTTATCGTGTTTGGTACTCTGAGTTTCTTGAATTTATTGTCTTATGTCTCTAGCTAAATTTGAGGTGGTCTTGCCATTGTTTCATCGGTCATAAAAATTTCCTCTTCTGCCAGGCGGTGGCGGCACATGCCTTTCCCAGCACTTGGGAGGCAAGACAGGCTGTGAGTTCAAGGCCAGGCAGGTCTATGGAGCAAGTTCCAGGACAGGCTCCTAAGCAATGGAGAAACTCTGTCTCAAAAAACAAAAACAAACAAATTTCCTCTTCTAAAGGTTCCAATATGTAGACAGTCCTTCCTACTGTCTCCAAGACTAGCTTCATATTTTAAAATAATTTTTCTCTTGGAAGTTATATTGGATAATTTCTTTTTCTCTAAATTTACATTTATTATTTATTTTGAGTGCACATGTAGGTTTGTGTGTGTACATGCATATGCCACACCACCACATGTAGGGGTCAGAGGACAACATGCAGGCATCAGTCCTCTCTTCTGACCACAGGGGTCCCAGGCCTCAAACTCAGGTCATCACTGTACCCAGCAGCTTCCTCCCCAGCCCCTAGCAGTAGAAACTGATTTCTGTTTAGCTACCTTCATAACCTTCATTCTGGTATTGAGCTTATGAAGCAAAGTCTGGTCATTTTTTTCTCCTATTTTTGTGGTGATTGTCTTTTTATCTTAGAATTTTCTGATTCTGGATATCATCTGTTTCTCTGAGAGTTTCTCTCTTCCCGTTCATCCTTACACATAGTTGTGTTTTTATATCTGCTAAGGGATTAAAGTAGATAATCAGGCCAGGGAGATGACTCAGTGGGTAAAGGCACTTGTTACCACCATTCCTGAGGACAAGATTCAGTACTGGAACCTACAGGGTTAAAGGAGAAAACTGACTTGTGCAAATTGTCCTCTGATCTCCAAATGTGCTTTGTGCGCATACACACACACACACACACACACACGAGAGAGAGAGAGAGAGAGAGAGAGAGAGAGAGAGAGAGAGAGAGAAAGTTTTTAAATACATGTCAAGTAAATAGTAACAATCTCAGCATCCATGATATCTATTGTTGGTATTTATTTCATGTAAATTGATTTTTTTTGTTGCTGTGTGCCCAGTATTTTTTAAAAATTTTATTCTAGAAAAATTAACATGATGATGTAAGACTTTTAATCTTACTTAAATCTGTGGACAATGTTTTATTTCTTTTTTGCTTTTGTATTTTTTTTTCGAGTCAGGATTTCTCTGTAGCCCTGGCTGTCCTAGAACTCACTCTGGCCTCAAACTCACAGAGACTCTCCTGTCTCCACCTCTAGTATGTTAGTATTAAAGGCATGTGACACTACCACCTCCCTTTTATTTATTTTTTTAATAGAGTGTTTTCTTTAGCTGGCAATGGCCTCATTTGGATTAGGCAGAAAGTTAGTTCCGAGCAGCATTTGGGCTGCTTAACAATTCTTTGTAGGTTTGTTTCAATTTTGTGTGTATATGCACCCTGTGCAGAGGCAGAAGAGGGTGTCAGCTTTCCTGGAACTGTAGTTATCATGTGAGTGCTGGGAACTGAACCTGGGTCCTCGGCAAGAGCGACAAGTTCCCTTAATAGCCAGGCCATCTCTCCATCCTCTAGGCGGTGGGGTTTTAAAGCCCGTTTTAGTTCCGGTGCCTTTGCTCTGCTGTTGCCTGAGCTATATAATGTGCGCCACCTGGTGGTCGATCTGGGACATGGCCGCAACCTATTGGTTCAGCCTCAAACTCCTTGGATGAATTTTGCTGTGGTCAAATCCCCGAGGGGGCAGCTTGTGAAGGAGCCAGGAGACTGTAAACAGCTTCATGGGACTGCTTTCCGGAGCTCTCCCCTCTCCACGGTCGCCCAACTGTGTTCTAATTCCTCACAACTTCCCTTATTAGTACACTCGCTTGAAATGGGAGTTTTGACCCACCCAACCCTAACATGTGATCCTGAAACAGGGCCAACGGAAGCAACCATTGTGGACTTAGGTCACCGTCTTGGGCTCAGTTCTACTCTAACTGGATTCTTCTGTGCCTGTGGCTTCCTTGCCGCTGCTCTGGCCTCTGCATTGCATCCTGTTCTTGTTAAACTCTGCTAATCCCATTTCGAGGTTTTCCTTCCAGACCAAATCACCAATAAATCGATTACATGTACTTCAGATTCCTTTTCTGCCTTTCACTGGGCCTCGGTTAAGAAGCATTGCATAGTTCATTTAAGTTTTTAGTAGTGTTTTATACCGATCCACGGAGCTCTTCATAAAATTGCGTGTTATGCATGTTATGCATGTGTTATGCGTGTGCATGCTTGTGCGCCAGCACCCATGCTGAGGACAGAGGACATCTTGCCCGAGTTGCTACTCTTCTACCACATGGGTCCTTGGGATCGACTTCGGCTGACAGGCTGTTACTCACTGAGCCATCTCACTAACCTCCCTTAGGGTCCTAAATGTACATTTTGATAAATTTCTTAGTAAGCATTTCAATTAAAAAAATTGTTTATTTTTATTTTATGTGCCTAGGTGTTTTGCTTGCATGTATATCTGTGTGGCTTTGAACTTGTGATCCTGCTGTCTTCACCTCCCAAATGTTGAGATTAGGGGTATGGATCTTGAATTATTTTTGGTTGGACATAGTTTCTTCCATGAGTTTCTCTTAGTCTGGGGAAAGAGGTCTGACACGGTAGACTTAGCGGCCTGTTCTAGGTCTGGTCTGTGACACAGAGATTTTCTCTTTTGTTTCAATCTCTTTCCTTTTGCTTTTTTTGTGACTTCAGGTTAAGCCCGGAAATCTTTTTGAAACGCCCAGTGGTGGAGGGCAACCGCTGGAGGCTGGACTACATCCTCAGGCGGAAAGCAGTGAGTACTGCCCCAGTGCAAACAACTGTTTCTAAAATCCTTCACGCATGCGCGGAGCTGGGTCACAGCTAGAGTGCAGTGAGTACTGCCCCGGTGCACACAAATGTTTCTAAAATCCTTCACGCATGCGTGGAGCTGGGTCACAGCTGGAGTGCAGTGAGTACTGCCAGTGCACACACGTTTCTAAAATCCTTCACATGTCCGTGGAGCTGGCTCACAGCTGGAGAACTTGCTTAGCCTGTGTGAGGCACTGACTGGGTTTTATTTGAAGGAGCATAGAAAACAAACTACGGGGACACACACCTTTAATGACAGCCCTTAGGAGGTAGAAGAAAGATTAAGAGTTCAAGGCCAGTCTAGGCAGTATGGCAATGTCAAGGTCAGCCTGGGCCTTTTGAAAGTGTCTCAAAATAATTTTTTTTTAAAAAAATATACTTACAACTTTTTACTTTAGAGCAGTGGTTCCGAGCTTCCAAATGCTGCAACCCTTTAATACAGTTCCTGATGTGGTGACCCCAAACCATAAAATTATTTTTGGTGTTACTTCATAGCTGTAACTCTTTTTCCAATGGCCTTAGGCCACCCCTGTGAAAGGGTTGTTCAACACACTGCCGCTTTAGAGCTTGCAAACCAACTCACACACACATACAACACATGCACACACATGAAACACATGTACATGTGCACATATGTGGGGGGACTTCCTGTTTGCCAGTTCATTTTAGAGAAAAGCATATGGGGAGGGAAGATGGCTCAGTAGGTGAGAGAGAGCTTTTGCTGCCCAGTGTGGACTTGAGTTTGAATCTCCAGTATACCACATATACCACATATACTCAGTGCACTTAGAACCCCAGAACTGTGTGAGATATATATCAAAGCATTGCTGGCTTTGTTGACTCTGGCTCTGGGTTCAATGAGCAATCCCGTTTCAGAGGAATAAGATGGGGAACGATAGAAATGGGTCATTTATGTCGTTCCCTGGCCTCCACACACATGTATGTTGGCATATGCACCAAACAACACCCCCCATACACACATATCATAGGGGGAGGATATTAAAGACTATGGGGTTTGGTTCTAGTCTGAAAACAGGTTCCATTGAAGCTAGCCCATAGAGTCTGGGTAAATACTCATGTGTCCTTTTTGTTATAAATAAGTAAACAGTTGAAGCAGTGTAGCTACATGTATGTTGTCAATGAAGTCTGTTTATGTGACTAATTTAGAGTAAACCTGGACTTATTAATCTTCTAAGTAGGGAATGCTAACCGTGTTCCTCTGGTTTGAACCTGTCTTAGTTTTTCTCTCTAGGGAAGCATGTTCTAGCAGCTGTTTGGATTCCGCATTACGGGGAGCAGTGTTTCTCCTCCAGGAGGTCTCCACACCGTCTTCCTCCTCCTTTTTGTCCTTTCCCCATACCTCCCAGAGAGTTTCCATCAGTACCCAGACCTCATTGCTCATCCTAAGGGAAGAAGGTTTTTTTCTATCCACCCGGCATGGCCGCAATGGATAATGTAATCCATTCCATTCATAAAACGGGACACACTGAGCCTGAGAAGTTCTAGTCACGTATTCCTTAAATAGCTCAGTCTATCTGTGATGTCTTTCCAGCCCATCCCAGCTAACGCTTACTGAAGGCTCTTGTCCTAGGCTCACACCTAGCTTTACCAACCAATTCCTACCTGTTAAAGAATCCGGAACCCACTGTTTTCCTTTTCTGTAAGCAGCCCCTCTCCCAATTCTCCTTAGGATTCCATGTCAGCAAACTTTTCCAGGCTTGGCCAGCAACCTTCACCCACACTGGGAGACCCTCCTGCACAGTGAGAATTTATATTTTTTATGTTTCAGTCAACATGAGCTTGTTGAATGCTTCCCATGTTTAGGAGCGAGACTGATCATAAGGGAGTGTATGATGAATAAACTCTGTCATACATAAGCCGGGGCAGCATAAAGATCCTCACGTGTGCCACTTCCCTGTGATCCACATGTGTGCTGCATCCCCATGACCCACATGTGTGCAGCTTCCCTGTGATTCACATGTGTGCAGCTTCCCTGTGATTCACATGTGCTGCATCCCCATGATCCACACGTGTGCAGCTTCCCCGTGATTCACATGTGTGCAGCTTACCTGTGATTCACATGTGTGCAGCTTACCTGTGATTCACGTGTGCTGCATCCCCATGATCCACACGTGTGCAGCTTCCCCGTGATTCACACGTGTGCAGCTTCCCTGTGATCCACACATGTGCACCTTTCCTGTGATCCACACTGTGATCCCTCTCCTGTAGAGAAGGCAGTCTCAGCAGACACCTCTGCCTCTTAAAATGTTTCCGCCCCTTCTTCCGTGACTTTTTGTAGCCTCATCTGTAGGGTTTCATTGCAGCCATGGAGCTGGTAGGGACACGCAGTGGCCCTTTGTATTTTAGCCTGTTTTGGGCTTCTGTAACAGCATCCGTCTGCTACAGAAAGAAGCATCCTTGATGGTGGGTAAGAATAGCACTCGTCTGAGCATATAAGGGTAAAATGTTTAGAATGCAGCTAGCCATTGTGCTGGTTGAGGAGAGTGGCAGTTGCACAGTCTCCTCTAGGTCTCCTCACTAGCCGTGGGTGGCAAGAACTACGGACAGTTAGCCGCTGCTGAGAAAAGAATTGGTTTCCTCTAGAAAAGGACCCCTGTTGATTATGCAATACCAAATGGTCAACCCTAGACGCATATGCATACAAATGGCATTAAATGGACTCAACAGGTTGTATGTGTGCATATGTAGGTGTGTGTGCACATGTGTTTAACAATAACAAAGCAAAAACGATAGAAATCATACATGGCATTAGAAGGAGGGCTCAGAGGCAGAGGAGGGGAATAGCGGGAGGGGAGCTGGCTGGGTTCAGAGTACATCACACCGGTATGAAGGTCATAATGTGCACTTAACAAATGCTAATAAACCGAGGAGGAAATCCATAAGCATGTCAAATTCAGGGAGTACAGGGAGCGCAGCCAGAGCACCTCACACCCCGAGGGCTTTGGGGGAACTTAGGATGGGCAAATTCCACAGGTGCAATAAACCCTGAGAAAAGAGGGCCATTCTGCTAGAGTGTGGTGGCAGGCGTGGCTGGGCTCCTGCTGGGACGTGGCTGCAGCTGTGGGGCTGAGAGCCAAGCTGGTGACATGAACTTTCTGCCGGAAGTAAGGATGCTTAGGGGAGGAGGGTGGGTCAACAAGGTGGAACTGGGATGTGGTAGAGCGAGGAGCGGGAACTTGGATTCAGAAAGCTGAAGTCTGTCTCCTTCCCTCCCTCCCTCCCTCCCTCCCTCCCTCCCTCCCTCCCTCCCTCCCTCCCTCTTTCTTCTGTCAACTTCCCTCTCTTCCTTTGACTTCCTTCCTTCTCTCCTCTTTCTGTCTCCCCTCCCATACTCTCTCCTTTACTGAACCACGATCAAGCCCAAACTCTTAGCTGGATGCAACTCCACGAGTTGCATCCCCAAGCCTAGAGAGGTTCATTTGAGATGCCCAGAGTGCGAGGGGTCTGTAGACATCTGCATAGCCCAAGAAAGGTGGCAAACGTTGATCCGGGCTCAGGAGGGAGGCCTGCAGACCTGGCCCTCCGCCTCTTGCTGCCTGTTACCTGGCAGTCTTTGTCTGCCGCCCTCAGGGTCCCTGGCCTTTACATCACTGGTCTGGCTTCTTGTAGCTTTTGACGCACCAACCCTGCTGAGGTCTCTGATGAACTCCCCAGTGAATGAACATCACAGCTTGACGACTGTTGTGTTCCCAGGTCAGGTGCTTTCCGCAGCTTGTCATCTTTAAATGGTGGGTAACGATTTGTTTCTCGTTCCTGAGAAACGGTTGTGCTATGGAGGGTGAGTGCTTCTTGGCACATTTAGTGGAGTGGTCTCCTTCATCTCACTGCACTGAATTTGTACTTTGCTCATAAAATTTTTACATTTGGATCATTCCAATCTGATACGTCATATGCACATGAACATTGCTTCTCATATATAATTGAGCTTCTGAAAGCCACATGCTAGGCTTGAACAGATTTTTTTTTTTCGAGACAGGGTTTCTCTGTGGCTTTGGAGCCTGTCCTAGAACTAGCTCTTGTAGACCAGGCTGGCCTCGAACTCACAGAGATCCCCCTGTCTCTGCCTCCCGGCCTCCCGAGTGCTGGGATTAAAGGCGTGTGCCACCACCGCCCGGCTAAAACTTTTTTTTGTTTTTGTTTTTTTTTTTAGGCTTGAAAAGAATGGAGTGTAACATAATATTTATTTTTGTATTACTGTGTCCCACAGGTCTGTAAGGTTGATTAAAATGAAACATTTCCCTTCTGCCTGTACAGATTATTTTTTAATATTTAATAAGAATCTGCAAATTTCTCTGCTTCAGAGCGGATGTGTAGGTCAACATTGCTCACAAGAGCTGTGTTTTGCTTTTCTGGTAACAACTGAGCTGATAATCTTATCTTTCCCGGCTCTCATGATATGTGGTGGCCACAGTGCCAGCCCGTCTTATCAGCAGGTTGTTCATCGCTCAGGCATCCTCCTGCCTCGGTTGCCACAGTTCTGCAGTAAGGACACCAGGAACTGAGGAGATAAGTTGCCTCACGCTATGGTCACCAGAACTCCTTGCCACAGTTGTGGGTGCATCAGTCTTAGAAATATGAGACTGGAAATTTTCCAGAGAAGTGAGCTGCCAGCCGTCAAAGGGTTTTGCTTTTCACAGTGAATTTGTCATCAAGTTTAGGTATTTTTTTTCCTTTTTTCACAAGACACAGTCTGCTGGAGGTATAGTCAGCCATCAAAGAAGAAGATGTCCACACTAGAGAAGAGAGACAGAGAAACACCCCTCTACCCAGAATACCAGTGGGACCCTAAGTAGGAGGCTGGAATGGCTTGCCAGGGAAGGGAGCGTATCTTTAACCTCCAGGACCAGATTTTAAGCAAAACTGTTTAAAAATACATAGATATTTACGTTGCGGTCGCCTACTGTTCCTTATCTTTAACTAGTGAGAATGTGATTACTGCTTTGAAGTGTATTTGTGTGTGCACACGTGTGTGGAAGTCAGAGGACAGCTTGAGGGAGTTGTGGGTTCAAATTCAGCTATCTGGCTTAGAGGCAAAGGCCTTTATCTACTGAGCTGTATGACAGGTCTGCTTTCTGCCCTCATGTTTTGGACACGAGATCTCATATAGCCCAGGCTAACATCTAACTCTGAGCCTCTTGCCCCATCTTCTCAAGGGCTGGAATTACAGGTGAACACCAGCGCATAGGGATTTTGTCTGTCTTCATTTGTTTCCCATTTTCCTACAGTCTTGCACCCCAAGAGAAGTTCTTGGCAAAGAATGAATTGTTTCTCTGGGGTGTGTTTGTATAACGTAATGACAGGCAACAGATAAACTTGGCTGTGCTTTGGAAATATTTGGGCCATGCTGCTTTGAATAATCAGAGAAGAAACTGACTACGAAATTGGGTCTTGATCATCGTCTTCATGTGTCTTTTGTGTATCCAAAGCCTCTCTGGCTCCATGCACCACCACACCTGGTTTATGTAGTGTGGGGACTGAACCCAGGGCTTCCTGAGTGCCAGGCAAGCACGCTACCAATGGAGCTACACAAATTTCCTTAGTGTTTTAAATGCTCATTGTGGCAGACTTTGACTTGTTTGGTTAGGTTTATTCTGAGGTAATGCTTTTCTTTTAAGCTTTTATGAGTGGAATTGTTTTACTGGTTCATTATCACAATCCCTGTTTGCATATAGAAAGGCTACTTCAAAATACGACTTTTTAAATTACAAACTTAGCTTCTGTCTTCTGTAGATTTGGCTTTTGGTTTACCAAAATAGCTTCCATGGTTTTATAAACCTGTACTGTTACAACAAAGCAGATGGTTTTATCACAAAGGAACACTTCTTTTGCCATTTATGGCATTTATGGCTATGCTGTGATATGGTATGAACGTTGGCATTTATGGAGTTTATGGCTGTGAGGTAATATGTTGCATAAAAGGGAAAAAATTACTGATTTTTTTGGGGAATCTGCAACATATTAACTGTTTATTGCAGGTATAAGCATAAGTATATAGAAAAGCCTCATTAAAAATCGCATTTGTATAATTAGTTCCTTGTTAGTCATCGGTATTTAAGATAAAGGGGGCAGAATTTATACCCTATTTCCTTTCCATTTACCTTTTTCAAGTGAGAAAGGACATGGTATGAAATAAAATACCAGGTACAACATTTGGAAGGTGTTAGTGCAATCCATTAGAGTTAACATCTTTATCTCGAAAATGCACCAATTATTCAGGTATGTGAGAAACTTCAGGATTTAGATAAAGTACCTAATTTGCAAACCCTGCGCCTCATGAATTTAATGTTTTAAGTTCAAGAGGCAGAATTTCTGAGCTAGTGTGGGTTACTTTATTGTAACCGTTACATAAAGAGGTGGCACAGTGGTTAAGAAGGTTTGCTGCAAAGCTATGAGGACCTGGGTTCAGATCCATGTCCACAGGGAACGTGCTGGGCAGGGCTTAGTGTGCACCTGTCACCCCAGCGCTGTGGAGGCAGAGACACGAGGGCCACTGGGGTTTGCTGACTTGCCAGCCGAGCTGAAAAGTGAGCTCTGGTTTCAGGGAGACAAGAGCCTCAAAGGAATGAGGAAGAGAGTGAAAGCAGAATTTCATCCATTTGAAATATGGACTATAAGGAATAATACCGGGTATATGCATACCCTACTTAGGTTGCAGTTTTGGGTTGTAAACTTTGAATTATACTTCCCCGCCGAAAGACTTCTATTTAGCATTGACCATAGTTCAGTGATAAATTTTAAAATATTTAAATAGAAAAAAATAGCTGAATGATAGAAGTGAAAAAATTATTTAATATTCCTTTCTAGCCCTTAACTAGTGTTTTATTACAGAGGACTGACTGGTCATCAAAAATCAACCTGTTCCCTTCTTGCTTACATTTTTATGTTCTTATTTTTTATTCAAGTTATATATATTCAAATTATATGTCTGATAATCATTTTAAAAATATTTATTTTTAGTTTTTAATTATGTGTTTGTTGTGTAAGCATGCGTCCATGCTCATGGTGCCTGCGAAGGCCAGAGAAGACATGGGATCCCCTGGAGCTACAGCTCTGAGCAGCCTGATGTGGGTGCTGGGAACCAAACGCTCACCCTTGGCAGGACCACTACATGCTTGTAACTGCTGAGCCCTCTATCCAGCTCACCACTCTTTAAAAGATACACGTATCAATGTGTGTGTGCGCGCGTGTTCCTGTAGTATGTGTGTAGAGGAGCTCCTTCTAGCACATGGGTTCTAGGGGTCAAACTCAGGTCACCAGGCTTGGCAGTAGTCAGCTTTATCTACTGATCCAATTCTCAGCCCTGTACTTTCATCTTTTATATCTGATTATAATAGTAATTGAATAGTTATAGTGAGCAATAAATAAGTTCCAAAGTCCAGGTGTTCATAAGTGAAATGGAATTACATAATTACATTCATGTGCAAGCAAGTGTATGAAGGGCATGTATCATACAGACCTACTTTCGACCTTTTCCTTTTTTTTTCAGAACAAAGGTTTATCTTCTAATACATATAACTAACACCTGATTGCAAATCTAGTGTCCTTCTAAGATTGTAGACTCATTTCAGGCATAACTAACTCGTGAAGTGATGTGGTCTTATAGGAAACCCACACACTATATAGAGTTGACAGAATAGCACCGGGAAACTGTAGATTCATGGCTCCCCATTGTCTGTTGCCTAAAGGCATAAACTCAATGTCATTTGAAGTTGCGGTGTTGTGAAAACACAAGGTTCTTGTTGGTCAGATGGTGAAGTCAGTGGTTCACCAGGCACATTCTGATTCAGTTCGACAGTGAAAGGGTCCCCAACAACCCTATCTTTGTTCTGACCCACAGTCTAGGGGCAGATGCGTGTTCATTTGTTACACAGCTACTGCCACAGTGAAGTCCTATTGCTAGCACCATAGACGCTAAGAATCTAATTGTGTGTAAGATCTAGCACACTCTTCTTTAAGGATTTAGGAGTGTTTTCTTCATTTAAACTATTTTTTTAAGGCAAAAAAAGCTCTACACAATCAATCACTACCCTGAGACATGAGGGGTGTATTTGGCACTAGCTCAGGTCGCAGTTCTCCTGAGCGGTAGTGCTTGGGATGTCTAGAAAGGCATTGAGGCTACTGGACACTTTCAGGAGCAGAGGTGCTGGCCACTGCATCCTGGATCTGTGAGTATCCAAACCAACACTCGTGTGATGAACTTGTACAAAGGGAAGGAGGATGGTCTTCTTCTCAGTGAGATAATACGTAGCCTAGGCTAGCCTTGAACTCTGTTCCTCCTGACTCCCCGTCCCCAGTGCTGGAGTAACCAGTATTTGCCACCACACCTAAGTTTTATATTTTCTATTTGTGCCTTGACATCATGCATGCCATGCCTTGCACTGCCTGTTGGTTCACTGCTTCTATCCCAGTTCATGGACTAAAGGAGATCTAAGCCAGGGAAAGAAGGAAGGGAAGCAGGGCACAGCCCTCCAGGTGCTCATTCTTGTTTTCTTGTGACAGCAACAAGGCGTTCGGATTTTCATCATGCTATACAAGGAGGTGGAGCTAGCCCTCGGAATCAACAGTGAATACAGCAAGCGGACTTTGATGCGGCTGCACCCCAACATAAAGGTATCCTGGTCCCAGCGCTTACTGCCCCACAGCAGCCTTTCCCGTAAAGATGACCTGCGTGTTCATTTTGAGTGAACAGCGTCAAATCCTCAGAAATGCACACAGTATTATATTTCTTGTTTTGCTTTTCAAAATGAGATTACAAAGGGAGGGGTATGTCATCCATACCTTGTTTCTATTGCTCCTCCCTCCCCATTTCCTTCACCCAGCCTCCTGCTCCCCCTTCTCCTTCTTTCCCATGGTACCCTTATTTTGCTTTCATGTCACACATATTTTCATACCCTCTTCTCCCCATCCCAATTTCCTTCAGACTTTTCTTCCCTTCCCATAATTCCTTTCCAGTTTCTTGACCCTACTCACATCGCATAGATATGCATATATATAAATGTTTAGATCTAGGCTCTACATGTGAGAGGAAACAGTTGGTATTTGTCTAGGTCTGGGTCACTTTAATAGTTTCCTTTTCCATCGTCTTTCTGCAAATATCATTATTTCATTTGTTACTACTAAATAGAATTCAATTGTGTATACATACCACACAGTATTTATTGATCTGTTGATGGGGTCCTAGATCGGCTCCATTTGCTTACCATTGTGAATAGAACAGAAGACACATGGATGTGCAGGAGTCTGTGTGGTGTAATGCAGTCCTTTATATACCCAAGAGCAGCTAAGCCCTATGGCAGTTTTAATTTTAGTTTCTTTTCTTTCTTTCTTCTTCCTTTCCTTCTCCTCCTCTCTTCCTTCCTTCCTTCCTTCCTTCCTTCCTTCCTTCCTTCCTTCCTTCCTTCCTTCCTTCCTTTCTTTCTTTCTTTTTTTAAATACGATCTGAATTTGTAATCTGGTTGGCCAGAAACTCTATATGGCTCAGTCTGGCCTCTGACTCACAGAGATCCTCCTGCCTGCCTGCCTCTCAGGTTCTGAATTAAAGGCATGTGCCACCTCTCCAGGTTTCTAGAGAGACCTGCACTCTGATTTCCATGGTGGCTGTACCAGTTTACCCCCACCAGCCATAACTAAAGCTTCTCTTTCCCCTCCCCACATTTCTCTCCAGTGTTTACTGTTGTTTTCCTGAGGGTAGCTATTCTGCCCACCAAGATGAAATCTTAAAATGGTTTTGATTTGCATTTCTTTGATGACTAAGGGTGCTGAATGCTTTAAAAACATTTTTTTCTGAGACTCCTCTGTTCAGCTGAAATATTTCCTTATATTCTCTGTTGATGGGGTGAGTAGATCTTACATTTTTCAACTTGAGATGAAAGTTGAGCCCAGAACATGCTTCCTGCTCTATTTTACTCATGAGTTCTGTCTACTCTCCATACTGCATTAGGAAAACACTAGAACCACTTGGACATAATGTGACCCAGTCAGTTCTCTGATTGCTAACAGCAATAAAGAGATTTCCTTTAGGATTTGAAAGTCTGTATTGTTTGTGATCAACAGTATCTAGTGTGAAATGTTTGAAAAAGCTCCTAGAAATCTCATTAGACCTAAAATCTCATAATAAATATCATTCAGCCATCAAGACACATGACTTATGCTCTAAGAGGCTTAAAATATGTAATAATTATGTATCTTACTTGATTAAAAATCAGCCCACAGGATAAGTCACCTTGCAGCTGCTCAATATTCATTCACCGGGTGTTGATTTTGTGACATCAGTAACTGAAAAGAATACAACAAATGGTTTCTCAGAAAATTGGGAATCGATCTACCTCAAGACCCAACAATCCCACTCCTGGGCATACATCCCAAGGATGCTCCATCCTGCCACAAGGACACTTGTTCAACTATAGCAATTTTATACATAGTAGCCAGAAACTGGAAACAACCTAGATGTCCTTCAACCAAAGAATAAAGAAAATGTGGTATAATGGAGTATTATTCAGCTGTTAAAAAGAATGACATCATGAAATTTGCAGGCAAAGGGATAGAACTAGAAAAAAAATCATCCCAAGTGAGGTAACTCAGAAAGACAAGCATGGTATGTACTCACTCATAAGTGAATATTAGCTGTAAAGGAAAGGATAATCACGCTACAACCCACAGACTCAGAGAGGCTATGTAACAAGGAGGGCTCAGGGCACATCTCCCTGGGAAGGGAAGATAGAATTGATTTTGAGGGTGGACTGGGGATTGGTAGGGATGGGAACAGGAAGGATCAGGTGTGGAAGACATGGAGGGAGAGAGTACTGGGAGAGGCAGTTGGGATTGGTGGGTCATTTTGGGGGCAAGTGCAGGTCACTTTCTTGTCAGACTGTCTTTGGATCACCACCCCTCAAATAAAGACAGACTTCTTATTAATTGTGAAAAATTGGCCTTGTCTCAGGTTTTTCCTCGACTGGCTCTTATAACTAAAATTAACTCATATTTTTTAATCGATGTTCTGCAACATGGCTCGTTACCTCATCTCCTTTCTGTACATCCCGCTTCCCTGCCTCTCCCTGGCAAATTCTACTTTTCTTCTTCCCAGACATCTCTTTCTCTCTCTACCTAGAAGTCCCGCCTCTTCTCTCCTGCCTAGTTATTGGCTGTTCAGGCTTTTTGTTACACCAATCAGATGAGAGAGGGAGGGAGAGAGAGAGAGAGAGAGAGAGAGAGAGAGAGAGAGAGAGAGAGAGAGAGAGAGAACAGTGAAAATAAATATTTTGCGACAGTGAGGCAGAAACCTAGTCCAGTGGAAAGTCTCTGGGATCCATGAGGGTGACCTTACTCAAAAAGTGGAGGGGGGGGGGAGAAAAAAATACACAACAAAGAACAGCATAAAAAAGGCAAGCCACAAAAGAGGAGAAAGTATTTACAAACCATAGACTGAGAAGGGTTGTGTTTCCAGTCTGTATGGAGTCCTTCTTCAACAGAACCGCTAGAAGACATTTTCAAATGAGCCAAGGCTCTGAACAGATGTTTTAGAAGATTCCAATGGCCAAACCTCACCAGAAGATATTGAATCAGGAAAACACAAATCGAAACTCCAGCAAGATGCTACTTACCATCCACTCAGTGAGCTATAACCAGTGGTCAGGTGCTATATGGTGTTGCTGAGAATATGGAGATTATGCAGGTTGACGGAGTGGATAATAGGACAGCCACTTTGGAAAACTGTCTGCTAGTTCCTCAAAAGTTCAGGATGCAGTTATGGTGTGATCTAACAGGTCACTGCTAGGTCTGCACTCCAGAGAAGTGAGAACATAAGACTTACATAGAAATGTGCCTGGTCACAGCGCTCATAACAGCTAAAGGCATGCACAGCTTGAATGCTGATCAGCCGACAAATGGATAAACACTCTTTCTTGTTCAGTCGCAGACGTGAGTGAGCTACAAAGGTGATCCAACAGGAATGAGCTCCTAAAGCAGCCCACTAAAGGTGCAGGGGCTCACACCTGTGCTCTCAGTGCTTGGGAGGATGAAGCAGAAAGAGAATCGCCATCAACATAAGACGAGTCTAGGCCATGTACTACATCCTAGGTCAGCCAGAACCTCATAGTGAGACCGTCCCAGAGAGACAGAGACAGAGAGGCAGAGAGAGACAGATGGGGGCGGAGGGAGGGAGAGAGAGGAGAGAGAATATGTAATACATGTCATGTGGAAGTAGGGGGCTATTTGAAGTTAGGAAGATGGTCAGCAAGGGAAAGAGAATTAATAAGAACAAAGCAGTACAGAACCTATCATTCTGTATGCTAACAAAATTTAAGCCAGGTAGTTATGGTGCTTGCCTTTAATTTCAGCATTGGGAGGCAGAAGCAAGTGGATCTCTGGGTTCAAAGCCAGCCTGATCTACAGAGTGAGTTCCAGAACAGTCAGAGCTACAAAGAGAAACCCTGTCTCCTAAAAACCCTAAATAGATAAATAACATTTAAAAAAATTTTTAAAAGAATAATTCAGGCTGGCATTGTGGCTTGCCCCTTTAATCCCACCACTCAGGAGGCATAGGCAGGAGAATCTCAGTGTGTCTGAGGCCAGCCTGGTCTATGTGCTGAGCTCTAGGCTAGCCAGGCCTGCATAATGAGCCCCTGTTAGAGGAGGAGAAGACATAAAATTTGTACTTAGAGTCAAGTGATAATAAAAGAATGTATCAAAGCTCCCAGGAATTAGCAAAAGCAGTACAAAAAGAAGATGTTTATACTCCTAAGTCCTTCATTAGAAAAGAGAAGGTCTCAAAGTGTCAGCTTAATTTACTACTTAAGGATCCAGACAAAAGAACAAAGCAAACCGAAAGGTGGCAGGGGAGGGACATCAGGATCAGACAGGTCACAGGCAGAATGGGGAAAAAAAATCAGTGACCAAAGTTAGTGTTTAGGAGGATTGACCAGTTCAAGAAAGCTTTAGTCAGAAGCAGAAAGAGAAAAAGGAAAGCCTCTGCTTTCTGAAGACAAGAAGTGAAGATGGAGCCACTGTGAAAGTCCACAGTGGGAGCAGGTGACCCCCCCCCCCCAAAACCTGTCCAGGCTAGCCCAGGAAAAGGTATGAAATCTGGATGGGCATAACTAGTCAGGGGACCATGATCAACAGCTGAAAACTCTCAGGGAACAGCATGTGATTCTATTGCTGCATACTGATGAGCTCCGCCCAGCCTGCCTGCTTCCTTTCTTCCTTTCTTCCTTCCTTCCTTCCTTCCTTCCTTTCTTCCTTTCTTTCTATTTTTTTTTTTTTTGAGACAGGGTTTCTCTGTAGTTTTGGAGCCTGTCCTGACACTAGCTCTGTAGACCAGGCTGGCCTCGAACTCAGAGATCTGCCTGCCTCTGCCTCCCGAGTGCTGGGATTAAAGGCATTCACCACCACGGCTTGACTGAATTCCACCCAGCACTTAAAGCCTTAACAGCAGTCCTCAAGGTTGGCTAGCTCTTGTGGGAGCCTAGGCAGTTTGGATGCTCACCTGGATGGAGGAGGGTGGTCCTTGGACTTCCCATAGGGCAGAGAACCCTGATTGCTCTTTGGGCTGACAAGTGAGGGGGACTTGATTGGGGGAGGGGGAGGGAAAGGGGAGGCGGCGGTGGGGAAGAGACAGAAATCTTTAATAAATTAAAAAAAAAATAAAATCTGCACAGCAAAAAAAAAAAAAAAAGATTGGCTAGCTCATGGCCTTGGGAAAACTGCACATCGGAATTGGAAATGTGGCAAATCTCATGTTTTATGTATTCTACCACAATAAGTAAAAGCATTAGCAAACATTTTTGGTGTCTTCTTAGTTACAAACGTAAACATAAGAGAGGTCAAACAGGGTCATGTGTAGGGGCTCATCCTGAAAGCCGTTCATCACTGTTCCATTTCCCTTCGCATGAGGCGCTGTCCCAGTGTCTGTGTGCTTGTATCATCAGAATGCTAATTTATTACACATCTTTCCACAATGCATGGTGGTTAAGGATCTTACTTATTTACTTATTAATTTATTTATACCAAGGGTAACTATTGGGGGTGGGTAGAAAGAGAACCTATAGTTCTAATGATTGTCATTCAAGTCAAATGATTGCTTCCTCAAACCACCTCATCAGGCTGAGGACTTAAACCATAAGAGGTCACGTATAGGGGCCTACACTTGGAATCCCAGGATTTAGGAAAGTGAGACAAGAGACTCTCAAGAATAGTGAGGATAGTCCTTTAAAAAAAATAAGAAAGAAAGAAAGAAAGAAAGAAAGAAAGAAAGAAAGAAAGAAAGCCAGATGGAAGTCTGTCTCTGTTAGTACCGAGAATAAAATGTGAAGTTTGAGGTACTTTTCTTCAGCATGTGTAGAACATATTTTGTACCTGAATTCTTTTAGAAATGGTTTCGGGGGAGCAGACCTATTTTATTGAGATTTGAAGGACGTTTATAATTCACATTCTCTGTGGATTTCTCCTGTCTGCAGGTGATGAGGCACCCAGACCACGTGTCCTCCAGTGTCTATCTGTGGGCTCATCATGAGAAGCTCGTCATTATTGACCAATCACTGGCTTTTGTGGGTGGGATTGACCTAGCCTATGGACGGTGGGATGACAATGAGCACAGACTCACCGACGTGGGCAGTGTGAAGCGGGTCACCTCAGGACTGTCCATGGGCTCTCTCACAGTGAGTACCTGTCACCTTTGAGGGGCGGCATAACATCGACAGGCTTGTCGAAACCCATATAAATACCATGATTGACCCAGTGATTCAGAGGTGGCAACTGGGAGATATGGTGGACATACCTACTTTCTTGTAACAGTCTATACCACCTGCCTAACCCAGAACCTGGCCTCTCTCAGCTTCTCCTATAGGAAGAGAGAGTGAGTTCTGTATAGCTTATGTCATCTCAGTTGGTTCTCTAGTTCAATACGAGTAAGAAGCCCATCCCAGGCAGCTGCTGGAGCTGGGTTTTGTTCATATGTGAGAGTGTGCATGGCTATGGTGGGCATTTGTTTTTAGCTGGTCACAGAACTCAGTAGATCAGTCTGGGGTCACTAGAGAGATCTGGAGCAGGAAGCTAACCAATAACTCCTCAAAGTACCTGCTAATCAAGAGCTGCTAAAAATCCTTGCTTTGTTTCAGCTCCACACGACCCAAATGCAATATGGATAAGGATTCAAAGAGTTCAGGGGCCCCTCTTATTTCCTGAAGGCTATGCTGCTGGCTTTTTTGAGGGTTGAGAAAGGAGCAATACCCTGCCTGGATACATATCATTACTGTAATCAAATATCTGATGGGAAGCAGGAGGTGGGACTGTTTCGGCCTCGGCTTGAGGAGTGCAGTCCACCGTGCTGCTAAAGTTGTAGGGGCAGGAGCGGGGGTCCTGCTCATCCCGTTCCATCTACAGTTAGAAAGCATGGGGATGGCAAGCCGTGAAAGCTCAAGGCCCACCCCCATTGATTCACCTTCCTCAGAGCCTCCTGAAGTCGTCCAAAACACTGCCACCAACTGGTGACTAAGTGTTCAAACAGCCTGCGGGGACTTCACATTCAAACCATGGCAGTAGGGAACACAGAAAATGCCTGAGGAGGGAGTCAGCTCATCAGAGTTATGTAGCTTAACACTGAATTTAAACAGTTTAATTAGTGTGAGGTAAGGGGGTCAGTGAAATGAAATTTCAGGAATTTTAGATGGGCGTGGTGGCATGCACTTAGTCCCAGAATGTGGGAGGCAGGGGTAGGTGAATCTCTAAACTTGAGGTCAGCCTGATTTACTTTCTGTGGCTGACCTGAGACTCTATGGAGAGAGTCTGTTCTGGGACCATCGCCACTTGTAAACCATCTCTCAGCTCTGCTTGAGTGAGAGCCCACTGCAGGATACTATATGCATGGCCTTTTTTTTTTTTTTTTTTTTTTTTAAATAACTTTCTCAGGCAGCAACAATAGAATCAATGGAATCTTTAAACCTCAAGAGTAACCAGGAAGCTCATAAAAACGAGCCCATCCTGAAGAGTGCGGATGAAACAGACGGCAAGCTGAAAGGAATAGGGAAGTCCCGGAAGTTCTCCAAATTTAGTCTCTACCGACAGCTGCACCGTCGCCACCTGCACAACTCGGACAGCGTCAGCAGCATCGACAGCGCCTCCAGTGAGTCTCATCTCTATTAGAACTTGTCTTGACTGTGCTGTGACTCTTGACCTGTTTTTTTTTTTTTTTTTTTTTTTTTTTTTTTTTTTTTTTTTTTTTTTTTTTTTTTATCAATCTGTGGTGGCATTCCATTAATAGTGCCTCTAGTTGTCCGGGCCATCCTGTGTGGCGCCATGGCCCCTTTGGCACTCTTTGTGTTTTTGAGACAGCGTCTCATGTAGCCCAGGCTGGTCACAGACTCACTATGCAGTAGAGGCTGGTTTTGGGCTCCTGTCCGCGCCATGCAGGCGTCACAGGCATGCACCACCATGTCTTTTTACAAGGCTCTGGGATTAAACCAAGGGCTCTGTGCACTACCAGCTGAGCTCCATGTTGGCCTCCCTTGCGTCATTTACAAAGCATATTTGTTTTCAACACAAAGTCATCAAAGCAGCCACTATTGATCTTTTAATGGTCACATAGGACTAAAGTTTTGTAAAATATGACAAGCTGCCAAGTGAAAAGGAAGGCGTCAGGTGTATTTCATAAACCTTTTGTAGACGAAAGTTCTCTTTTCATTCAGAAATATATTGTTTGTATTAGTAGAAATCAGATATTCTGTATCTTAAGAATTTACTATTCCTTGCAAGTCTTGTTTAGAGTGTTGTGATTTTCGATCACACTAGAACTAATGACTGATTCTATAGACTTCCTTGTTTTAAAAATAATTAAGCTTGCTTTTGAGTTTAGAAAATTTGATAATATATCAAATATAAATATGTACAAATACATACACATATATGTAAACATGTTCCTTTGTAAAACAAAAAAGAAATCTCAACTTTCTCCAGGTTATTCTAGCCACTATAGAAGTCACCAGAATTTAATCCATGGGTTAAAGCCCCACTTGAAACTCTTTCGCCTTTCCTGTGGGTCTGAGCGGGGGCTCACTGGGCACGGCACTGGTAAGTGACCTGCTAGTGTCAGAACCCCATGGTTGTTGGCTTTTGTTGCTTCTTCTGCTACATGAGCACAGTGAGTGTGTGTCTGCACCGGCTTTCTGCTCAGTCTTCGTGTTCCATATGTCAGGTAGAACCTGCTCCACGCAAGTGCAAGCTCTGCACTTCTGAGCACTTACATTCTAGTGGTAGCGCGTGTGTGCACACACAGCCAGCTCTGCACAAGGCAGAAGGACTTCCTCTTGCTGACCTAGAGTAGGGAGTCAGAGTTCTGAATAAGGAGCTTGTCCAGTGGGTCTGACAGTAACTTGGGGTGCAGGTGAGGACAGTAACTTGGGGGGGGGTAGGAAGGGACAGGAAGGTTTTGCAGGTGGTGGAAAGGAGCCCAGCATAGGCCCTGACACGGAAAGAGCAATGCCTTAACTGTTAAGGACAAGCCTTGTTCAGCCAAGGCACAGTGACTGGTGTTAAGAGGACACATTCAAGGCATGGAGTCCCGGACAAAGTGGGGAAGACACAACTTCATTAGCTGAAAAAAAAAATCATCATGTTTTAAATGGGATTGATTAGGAAATATTATCTGATACTTTTTATGAGAAGAATTAGATACGTTAAGCGTGAATTAGTCAGGGGCTAAAGTATGGGGCTGGGAATGATGGTTTTGGCAACTGATCTGACCTAAGGATGAAGAGTCACTATAATAAGTCAGCCACTGAGGGTTCAGATGGCTCCTCACTGCCTCATGCTTGTGATGCCTGCGGGAACGTCACAGATGCGGAAACTTGCCCGGCATGGCACAGTGTTACTGCCCAGTGTAGTCCCAGCTCAGCACAGCCTCCCGCTCAGTATCTGCACGTATAACTCAGCAGAAGTGCAGGGATTCTGTCCATTTCAACCTTGGCTTGATCCCGAGGCTGAGATTCTGCTCAGCTATGTTAGGACATTGGAGCCCGACTGACAGGCCGGGATGAAGCTCCAGGGGACCTGACTAGTAAGACTGGAACTTGAAGAGCGGTTATTATTCCTTTTAAAAATGGCGGCGGGGCGGGTGTGTGGACAAACACAGGATAGACGCAAAAGGAAGAGACGGACACGCGGCTCCCACGTGGGTGCGCTTTAATGGGGAGAGGGGAACACAGTAAGGGGTGGGACGTGCAAGACACACAAGGGTAAGGGGAAAAGGGCCAAGAGAGGGGGCAAGAGAGCGAAGCCTCGTGGACCTTCGCTTTTAACGGGGGGCGCAAGGTTATCTGGGAGGAATGGCCTTCACCTGGGCGCGTGGGCGCCAAGGTGTTCGTACTCCAGGAGGAGTCTGGGAGCTGTAGTTTCCAAGGGAATAACATTCCAACCTTTTTGGTTTATTAAAAAAAATTAAAATTGGGGGAGGGGTCTTAAAGGGTAGGGAATGGGGGCGTGGCCCGGTCTCTCATGACTGCTTCCTGCTGACTTTGGGCGTCGAGGGGTTCAGTGAATGTCCGGTTGGTCCGCTGGCGTTCTGGGCTGGCTGATTGAAGAAGTCACCTCCGTCCGGTTTTTTCTTCTGAGTAGCTGGGTCATTGCTGGGATGCTGGAAGGCAAAAATCGCATTAGTGGAGAAAGAAATTAGGGAGAAGAGATCTGGAAGGTTTGAGGGGAAACTTGGGGGTGGGGGAGGAGTCCTAGGAATGAAAGAAAGAAGAAGAGAAAAGAAAAAATTAAATGATACTTATTCCGTTACTGAACCGCTTGTGAATCTGCTTAGGTGAACTGACCTGTTAAGTGACTTTGTTAAAAATCTGCTTACCGCTGGAGCCCTTGGCTTCGTATTTGATGATCTGTAATGGCAGCTGAATGGTTATTTAGAATTTTGGAGAAGGAAAGATGTATTAACGCAGGAGAATTAGGTGGCAGATGGGGTAGGAGGGGCTAAGCCTGGTGTCTTTTGGAACTTAAGGGAACAGGGTCCCGTCTGGGTTACCGTGTATGAAGGATTATTTTGAGCTGTGGAAATAAAGGGCTTGAGGTGTGTCAGGTGGATCCAGTGGGGAACCCCTTTTAGCTTGGCAGCTGTGGGAGTTAGAAGAATTACTCTGAAGGGTCCCTGCCATTTAGGAGCAAGAGGTGAGGGGCGTTGACCTGGGGGTGAGAGCAATACCTCATCTCCTATTTTAATTGGTGGAGGACATGGGTCAGTGCAGGGCTGAGGTAGAGCGTGATCCGCAAAGTCCCATAGAAGTGAACGTAAGTGTGAAAGAAGTGGGGTGAGCAGGTGATCTGGGAGGGGGGAGGTTCCCGGTGAGAGGCCGGGTGTTAAGACCGGCCGCCCATACATAAGTTCAAAAGGTGAAATGAAGAGGGGACCCTTAGGGAGGGCCCGAAGCCTGAGGAGAGCAAGGGGCAGAAGTCTTACCCAATCGAGGTGGAGTTCCTGTGACATCTTCATAAGGGCTCCCTTTAGAGAGCGGTTAGTTCGTTCTACCTTACCTGAAGACTGTGGATGGTAGGGGATATGAAAGTTCCAGGGAATTCCGAGTGCCTTGGACAGGGTTTGACAGATCTGTGACGTAAACTCTGGACCGTTATCTGACTGGAGAGAGGCTGGGAATCCAAACCTAGGGATAATCTCTCGGAGAAGAACGTCAGAGACTGTCTGGGCTCTCTTGTTAGAGGTGGGGAAAGCTTCAACCCATCCAGACATTGTATCCACCAGAACCAGGAGATATTTAATTTTCCTGACTGTGGGCATATGAGTAAAATCCAGCTGCCAGTCGGTTCCCGGGAGAGAACCTCTGGCTTGGTGGGTAGGAAAAGGGAAGCTGCGATATTTGGTCCTGGGATCTGACTTTTGGCAGATCTGACAGGAAGCAGTGGTGGCTTTTAAAAACCTGATATCGTCAGGTGTGGGTTTGACATGTGTTTTTACAAAATGAAGTAGGGCTTTTTCATTGGGATGAAAAAGCTGGTGTAGGTAGGACAGGATCTGTCGGGTGTTGGGAGATGCCTGTGGGACTGTGGGCTGTACTGTAAATACTCCCTGAGGTAGCCGAGGCAGGCCTGTATTCTGGAGTGCTGCCATCTTAGCTGCTCTGTCCGCTCGGTTGTTTCCCTTGGAGACAATGGAACTGTCAGATTGATGAGACCGGCAGTGAATAATTCCTATAGCTTTAGGGAGATAAGAAGCTTTTAGTAAGTTCATAATATGCTCTGAGTTGGTAATGGATCCTCCCTTCGCCGTGAGAAGTCCGCGCTCCTTCCAGATGGCTGCATGAGACAACAGAATATGAAAGGCATATTTGGAATCTGTGTAAACATTTAAAGACTGTCCCGCGGCTAACTGAAAAGCTCGGGTGAGAGCTATCAGTTCGGCTTGTTGATTTGTTGTAAGGGCAGGTAGTGCCCTGGCCTCGATTATCTCTGTATCTGACACTATGGCATAACCTGCTTTGCGCGTCCCGTCACATAGAAAGGAGCTGCCGTCTGTGTACCAGGTGTGAGTAGCCTGGGACAGACTGCCCTCCTGTATATGTGAGGGGTGGGGTAGTAGGTCCTCTAGGACCTCAATGCAGGAGTGAGATGGGGAATCATTAGCATTAGGTTGAGGTAGAAGATTTGAAATATTGAGAGGTTGGCAAGATTGGAAATTGATGCTCGTATCTTCCATCAGCGCCACCTGAAGGGAAAGAACTCGAGAAGGGGGTAAGGTTTGTAGACCTTTGTAGGTTAAGAGGTTAGACAGGTTATGGTGAGAGAAAACTGTAGTAGGTGCTCCAAAGGTTAGCTTTTTTGACTCACGAATAAGAAGTTCAGCAGCTGCCAAAGCACGTATGCAGGGTGCCCAGCCCCGGGTGGTAAGGTCCATCTTCTTTGATAGGTAAGCTACAGGTGCAAAGGAGGGTCCCAGTTGGTGTCCTAGGACTCCCAGGGCATAGCCCTCTTTCTCTGCTACGTAAAGAGAAAAGGGGCGGGTTAAATCCGGAAGATGGAGGGCTGGGGCTTGGATCAGGGCCTGCTGGAGTCTCCGGAAAGGTTTTGTGATGGGGTGAAGAAGGGGCTCATGTAGAGAGCCGAGAGCTGCTTCATATA